TTCCTTTCTGGCCAGGGGTGAGTGAGGCAGTAACCAGTTGATGCTCATCAATTTGTTTAAACTCACTTCAACTTCTTACTTTACTGACCTTTATCAGGAAGAGATTGAATTGTTTCAAGGAAGACTGTAATATTCCAAGCTTGAGCAAGGTGTTGTTACCATGTAACTCTAACTTAAAAATAAAAACTAATTGTAGGGCTGTGGAATAACAACTCCTACCTACTCCAATTACAGCTACAACTACTACTCACTAAGGAATTTGAAATCTTTACTTAAATTTGCCATCATGAAGGAAAAAATAAAAACCTCAAATGTTTCAAATTACTCTAAGCTGGAAATTCCTGATTTTCCATGTGTTTCCAGTAAGGTTTGATTTTGAGATGATTTCCGGAAAATAAAGGGAAAAAAAAAGAACTCGGGTAACTCATAAAAGCAAGTAATATGCACATAATTGTGTGAGAAAAGCTAAAACAACATTTCACAGGTGGTCAGCATAAAAATGGACTTGTCGGTTTTACTTTACAGAGAGCACCTGTATGTCTTAAATAATACATGTGTACATTATTCATTTGAAGACTTTTATACAGTATAAAATGTCTGCATACAAGAAAAATGAAAATCCATCTTTCCCCCAAATTTGTTTTTTATAATACTAAATAAAACTGATTTTGAAGCATGTGTTATCCAGCACAACAGGGAGACTTTTCTGTAACATGTCCTAGGCAGACAGCAGAGACAATGGCTTTGTGTGTTATCAGGAATGCAGTAACTTTTCCTGAAAAAAATATCTACAATACAGTTCTCAAGGAAGTTTTCTTTTCAAGAGGCAAGAAGAGGTTGGTATAACCCCCTCTCTTAGGATCTCTGCTCTGACCAGGACTCTCTAACCACTCATGGGTGCAGCCTAGAGGGAACTGAGTTAGGGGGGTGTGTGCGTGTGCACACATGCAGATATGCATTGTGTGTCTACTATGAGCAAGATTGTGCACGTTTATTGGTGCATCAAGATGCATGTTGGGCCATAGTAGAATATAGGAGCAGACAGAGAGGGAAGTAAAGGGTTGGAAAAGGACAGAAGGAGAAACATTCAGGTATATAGTTTCACCCTCCAGAAAATTAAAATCATATCGAAGCTAGCATAGTAAATACACTCCTTTCTCTAGTCCCCGAAGTGCAATCTTTGGTTTGGTTTGGTTTTGTGGTAAGAACATTTAATACCAAATCTTACCCTCAATAGCTGTTTAAATGTATATTATAGTATTGTTAACTCTAGACACAATGTTGTGCAGCAGACCTCTACAGCTTCTTCATTTGGCTTAACTGAAACCTTATCTTGTTAACAGAATTCCTTGTTTCCCCATCTCCCAGTCCCTGGTAACCACTTTGACGCTCTCTGCTTCTAGGAGTCTGACTCTCTTATGTGCAGTAACATGGATGAACCTGGAGAACAGGCTAAGTGGAATAAGTCAGTCACAGAAGGACAAAAAGTACATGACTGCACTCACACAAAGTATTTAAAATAACCTTTAGCATTAAAGCAAGTTTTTTGAGAACTAGAACTTGCAAAGAAATTTAAGTGCACTCCAGGACACAGCAGGTGCAGAGGCTTTAAGACCTTCATCAACAGCTTCAAGCAGCAGTGGAACTGTCCTGCTACCTGGCTCCCACCATCCTGCCCCTGAGGTAGGTGATGCTGAGAAAGCTGGAAGTACTGCAGGGCCCAGGGCAGGGCTCTTGATCTGGGAAGAGAAACTATTACACAGAGGTGAGAGATTGTGATTCCCCTACATGGGAGGTAAGGGGCAGGTGTTCAGCTGGGAGGGAATATTTAACTGTTAGTTATTTCCTCAGATTTACCATTAAAATCATAGAAGGGGTAGGGGGAGGAAATGACACTTTAGCAAATGGAAATTTGAGAAAATATTACTTACAAGGATACACAATTCCGATGCAGTGAAACTGTACTGGAAATAAATAGCTCAGAGCACCTGGAGGATTTATTCTCTTGCTTTCCCCCCACCTATGTTTGTATTTTCCAGCTTGTATTCCAAGTATCTCTTGGCAGAATTGGCTCCATCTCTGAACTGTGAGCTCCTCTGAACATTAATCTTGGCTTATTGCACCTTATATGCCTCTAGGGAAACTTACAGAACACTTTTCAGCAGGCCTTCAACAGACATTTGTTAAACTGGGTAGATTTTAGGAGGTGTTATAGATTGAGCACCACGTTAGGAGTAAATGCCAGGAGAGCTGGCATTAGTGGATTTAGGTAAGTCTCTTAGGTCTCTACTCTCAGTTTCTCATTGGTAAATGGAAAAAGTCACCTTATATGACCTCCAAGATAACTTCCAACTGTAACAGTCTGGAATAAAAAACATCTCTCTTCCTTTTGGGAAATGTAAAATTATATATCAGATGTGATCATATACTCCATAAACACAGTGGAAAGTTATCATTAAAATGCACAAAGAAAACTGTTACTTGGAATAATGAAATAATGAAGTAGAAATTAGTCCACCTAAATGCGACTGTTAATGTATTTTATCTTTCTACTATAAAAGGAAAATAAAAACTTGGACTCCTCCATCCAGTGCAAATTACTTCCTTGGCCTGACAGACATTCATTTTTCTGAAACATAGCAGTTAATTCTATTCCACTAGGGTAATATTTTTAAAGTTTTACCAAATTAACTTTCACATAAGTTACTTTCACAGAAACAAAAGAAGGTTACATCCAAGTAGAAATTTTCTCGTTATATGCTGCACTAATTCCTTTCCTTGTGAATATGTGGCTCCTGTAAATACTTAGTACTTGATATTCACATATTGGAGCTTTATCTGTTTTTATCCTGTTCTTCAAAATATTTCTAAACATTTGAATAATCTGAGTACAAATGTCATTATGAAATTTAACTCAAAGGCAGAAAATTTAGAGGATGTATGTGTGAAAAATGTAGTGTTTTTGAAAGAGAAAAACTTGCACTAAGAAGAAAATTAGTTGGAATGCTAAATAAAAAATTTCCTGTCTGTGAATGTAAATAATCGTAATTAATAAATGTAAACCACTGTCATCTAAAATGCCTGTCTATCAAAATGATTCTTTGAGATTAAAAATGATGAAATGGTTAAAATTACTGAATCAAAGTTCTTTTAGAGATGGTGTTTAGTGCCAATTATTGGCTACTCCACTGAAATCGGTTAAAACAAATAAAGTTTGCTCTCCATAGGCACAAGGACAAGGCTTGACAGCTTTTGGGAGGACAGAGGACTGCATGAACCTGGTTCTCTTCCTTTATATCCTGATGCTGACCATCTCTGGTTCCTGAAAATAGTCAGCTGGTAGTACTGACCTTGCACAACTGACCACTGAGAGACTGAGGGGCTGTGGAATTAAAAGGCAATGGTTTTCAGCAATAGCAACTGCCTGCCAGGTCTGGAGGCCTTTCAGAATGCACCAGGGATTATAGGGTGGTAAGGGGGCCCTAATGATCACTTCACCTCTTGAATTCAAATTAAATCTAAATAAATGAAGATATACTTCATTCTGCCTCCCAGATCACTCCAGAAAGTGCTTCAGGCACAGGGCAATGGACATCATTGCTGGGCAACTCTGGGCCTCCCTCCTGGGGTTCATCACCCCTCCAAGGACCTCAGATCAAGTCCAGGACCCTCTTGATTCCCTCCCTGAAGAAAAGATCAGATCTCTTAGCAAGGATCAGGGAAAAGAACAGAAGCTTGGGGTCCACTGAGGTCGTCCTGCTATCCTCTGCATCCCTGTAAGTTAAACAAAGGTAGAAAGACAGAAATGTGCCAATTATATTGTAACTTGGGGTGGTGGTGGGGGAATCCCAGAGTAAAATACCTTTGAAACCAAAAGTCAAAGGGAGAAATAAATTGAGAGAAACCTATTAATCTCCTACAAGCAGTTGTTCACTTCTGTTCCCCTGTGTCTCTCGCGACCCTGCTGCTAAAGAAGAGACCCCACCTCACCTCTCCTGTCCAGGTATCCCTCGCTCTGTGTAATTACCTATTGATATGGAGATGGCTACTTCTCTCCACCCCTTGGAAACACCTATTGATATGGAGATGAACTGAGGCCAGGAGAGAGATTCTGGAAGAATTTCAATTCTACCCACATACACCAAATTCATTTTTCACCAATGTATTCATTAATTAACCTGAATGAAAGGAAAGGGAGATGCTCCTGTCCCTGCAGTAGAGCTTCTCTCCACAACTTCTATCCAGATAAGGGTTAAAAGGTCCTCGAATTTTCCTTCTTTTCTATTAGAGGTGATAATTAGAGAAGCAGAAACCACGTGTCAGTGACAATACCATTCTTGCTGTACTACCCACCAAGTTACACCCCCAACACCTAGTCTTCTTTTTCTCCTAAAAGGAATGTCTTTTAATGACAGTAGTTCAGGGCCGAGGGCAGTAAGTGATTTAGGAGAGTGAAATAGGAATGCAGTATTTATCATTTGATTATCATTTAAGCAAGATTAAGAAGAAAAGTGTGGACACATTTATTTTTTTTTTCTAAATCTTATGGGGGGAAAAAAAATGAGCGCAGTTCCCTTCAAGAGTTAACTCCTTCCCGCCCTGCCTTCCTAAAGCAGGAAGTTCCAGTCGTCCGGGATTAAGTGACAGAGTGGGCACTGATGAAAGCGAGCTTGAGAGGTGGGGGAGCCCGTGGCTCGCACACAAAGGCCCGGAGTTCCCTGGCCGCGGGCGGCCCGGCCCTGGGGCACCGCGGCACTCGGAGCGCCGCGTCGCGCCAGGAAGCGCCTGCGGCTCTTAGGGCTGCCCGGCCCCTCTGTTGGTGACTGGGAGAAGTTAGTCACCCTAGCCCCGACCCCGGCGAGCTTCCGATCGCGAAGGGGCCGGGGGATGGGGAGGGAGGAAACCCGGCATCGGGACCGCCGGGAGGAGGCGAGAGGAGCGTGGGGCGAGGGGGCGCACGGGGAGCTGAAAGCCCTTAGCCGGTGGACGGAGTTGCAAGGTCTGCGAGGCCGAAGTGCACCGGCTCGCACGGGGCAAAAACTTGCGTCAGGAACTTCCTACCGAGGGAAGGAGACGCAGGAGTGAAGGGGGCAGGAGAGACTCGAAATGCCTCAGTAACTTTAAAAACATACCAAAACACCCCTTCAGGAGATGAGGTAAGCCGAGGTTAGCCAACCCTTACTGGTTGTGAAATATCAGACAAACCCGGAGCCTCTGCGGCTTTAAATGAGGCCGAGGAAATCTGTTTTTCTTACCCGAATACTTTTTTTTTTTTTTAACCCCTCGCCCTTGCTCCCTCCTTCGTCCCTCCTTCCACCTCTCCGGGTCCCTTCCTTCTTCCCGGTCTCCCTTTCCTCCATCAACCCCTTGGCCAGCCCTCCCCCATCTGATTAGGCGCGCATTGGGAAGGGTGGGAGTGGTGGGGGAAGCTCTCCCTTTAAGAGGCAGCTTGCAGTGACGAATTGTCGAAATTGCCATTGCAGGATGGCATGCCGCTATAAATTCATTGTTCCACCTCCTCGCATCTTCACAGCGCTCGCACTGCTCTCCGCGCTTGCAGCGGCGGACTGGGGATGACGGCGGGCAGGAAGACACTGCATCCAAGAGACGCGGACGCGCCGCTTCACTGCCTAGCCGCAGGCTGCCCCTTGCATTTTTTGTTTTAATTTTTATAGCTTTTTCCCTCTCTTTTTTCCCTTCCTCCTGGGTCCAGTAGAGTCAAGGAAACCCACAAAATACGAAAGGAACGGGGCTCCGGAGCTTGGAACCCCAGCTGCCTGCAGGTCCGGAGCAGCAAGAGGGCGGGAGGCCGCACGCACCAGTTGCCCGGCTGGTGCGCGGCGCCTTCCTTACTTTTCTTGGTGCAGCGTTATTGGCTGCATTTGAGGTTGGATTTGGATTTTGACCATTTTCTACTATTTGCTGAATCTCCACGGCCCGACTTTTCTCGTTTTTTATTTTTATTTTTTCTTTTTCCGAAGAACGAATCCAAACATTTTCCAAATCAACAAAGAAAAGTTCGTACGCTGGCACAGCAGCCTGGACAGGCTGGCCCTGCTGCTGGGTCCCCCTCCAACCGACATTTGACTCAACCTTGCAAGCAAGTGTGTGTGTGCCCCCCATCTCCCGCCCCTGTAACTTCCACAACGAATAACAAATACCCGTAAAGTCCCGTTCCCTCAGCCCCTCCCCGCGGGCAGCGCACTATGCTGCTCGGGTGGGCGTCCCTGCTGCTGTGCGCGCTCCGCCTGCCCCTGGTCGCTGCCGGCCCCTCGGCGGCACCTGCCCAGGATAAAGCCGGGCAGCCTCGGGCTGCTGCAGCGTTCGCCCAGCCCCGCCGGCGGCAGGGGGAGGAGGCGCAGGAGCGGGCCGAGCCTCCCGGCCACCCGCACCCCCTGGCGCCGCAGCGCAGGAGCGACGGGCTGGTGCAGAGCATCGACCAGATCTACTCGGGCGGCGGCAAGGTGGGCTACCTCCTCTACGTGGGCGGCCGGAGGTTCCTCCTGGACCTGGAGCGGGATGGCTCGGTGGGTGCCGCTGGCTTTGTGCCCAGAGGAGGCGGGCCGAGGGCGACCCGGCGCCACCGGGGCCACTGTTTATACCGCGGCACAGTGGACGGCAGCCCCCGCTCCCTGGCTGTTTTTGACCTCTGCGGTGGTCTCGACGGCTTCTTCGCGGTCAAGCACGCGCGCTACACCCTGAAGCCGCTGCTGCGCGGGCCCTGGACGGAGGCAAAGCCCTGGCGCTTGTATGGAGATGGGTCTGCGCGGATCCTGCACGTCTACACCCGCGAGGGCTTCAGTTTTGAGGCCTTACCGCCGCGCACCAGCTGTGAGACCCCCACGTCCTATTCAGGGTCGCGCGAGCCCACTCCTTTGTACAGCAACCCCTCCCTACGCTGGGCCCTGACTCCGCAGTTTGCGGACCAGTCTGTACCCATGTCTGCTGGGGTCCAGGGACCAGAGACGTGGTGGCGGCGGCGGCGCCGCTCCATCTCCCGGGCCCGCCAGGTGGAGCTGCTACTGGTCGCTGACGCGTCCATGGCGAGGATGTACGGCCGAGGCCTGCAGCATTACCTGCTGACTCTGGCCTCCATCGCCAACAGGCTGTACAGCCACGCCAGCATCGAGAACCACATACGCCTGGCCGTGGTGAAGGTGGTGGTGCTGGGCGACAAGGACAAGAGCCTGGAGGTGAGCAAGAACGCGGCCACCACGCTCAAGAACTTCTGCAAGTGGCAGCACCAGCACAAACAGCTGGGGGATGACCATGAGGAGCACTACGACGCGGCCATCCTGTTCACTCGGGAGGTAGGTCTGGCCTGGGTGGGTGGTCTGAGCCCTGGTACAAGGAGGTAGGTCAGAGCGCCAGCCTGGGGGACGGCCTTGCTTCTGCCACAAATTGCCTACCACTGTGGATCTGCTTAACTGCTTCTTGCAGGAAAACCACCCAGCCTCCAGCCCTCCTGTTGTACTCAGGGCGGCCCCGGCAGCAGTGCCTGCCTTAAATGACCAGACCGGTTTAGGTGGTCAGGCAGGCAGGGTATCTCCAGTATGAGGTAGGGTGTCAAAGATGCATAAGTATAGTAAGAAGGGCCGAGGGTGCTTGGGAAGATGTACATAGCTACATGGGAAATGAGGAAAATAGGTTTGTCTTTGGAATCCTGGGTCTTCTACTTTCCAACGAACCCAAAAGCATAACTCTGTTCAACCTTGATGGAAAGGGCTTGATGGTGCATATGTTGCAGTCACTTTTATTCATGACCTTCCTCTCTGTATGTCCAGACCTTCATACTTGAACCTCCTCTATGACTTAAACTGAAGGAGGACTTTCCAAAGGAAGGACTCTTTTTTTCAGTCTGACTTCCTGATTGAATTCTTACAGGTCCATCTTGTGGAATCTTGGTTCCTGGGGCAGAAGGAATGCAGGAAGGCTAGGAGGATATAGAAATCCAATCTTGTGAGGTTCCTTAGCAACTCCTGTGCCCAGCTGCCCAGGGCACCACAAGCCCTTGCAGCTGCCAGAGACGGGGACATCCAGCTTGCAGGTTTGGGTTCTGGGTGAATATGTTTTTGAAACCCCAGTGTGGCAATACCTGGGCAAAGAGTCAAGACAGGAGAAAGGACTGTTTTCCCAGGATTTCCCTCTTTTAAGGAAGATGATTAAAAGAAGGGAAAGAAATTGAATTTCACAGGCCCAGAGGTTCTGGGAGGAACACAGAAGTTCCGAAGCACAATCGTCAGACCACCACAGAAGTGTGACATTCAGACACAAAGTCTGGGGTGGTTTTGAGCCTGGCTTGCTCAGAGCTCTGAAACTCAAGTTTTCACAACTCTATTCTGATTGGCAGTTTTAAGTCATGCCTTTCTGATGTCTGGTAAGGATCAACTTTTAAGGCTCATTCTTTAAGGGTTTGAGATCTATCCAGGATAGATGAAGGCTTAAAAACTTTGAAATGTTATGCAAAATCGTGGTATGAAGGGGAGCACCCAGACTAGGATAGGAAATTCAATAATGCCTGCAGGAGGTTTCAGAATCACACTGCTCCACTACCTAATTCTCCTATTTTTACCAAGTCACCCCTGGTATGAAGGAAAAGTGTTGATAAATTTGGAGTGGAGAAACACTTGTGGTTCCTGGGGTGAACGTAAATGTAAACCACATGTAAACAAAGACTTCAGAGGGCAGCAGTTTAGGGAAAGCTAGGCAGCACACAGTGCTATGCAGAATGGAAAATCTTTCTCATTAAGTGATCTCCTGGAAACCATCCTTTAATTTCTCTGCACAACATTAATCTTTGAAACGAAAGAACATTCTTTTTGTAGCCTTCTGTGTGAAGTTCTCCTGTAAAATTATCCCTTTCTTACTTGGGTTCCAAGTCTTGTTTTTTTTTTTTTTTTCTTTTGGTAAGCAACTTTCCATGTCTGGATTTCTTGCTTTGCTACATCATAAGAGCCTGCCAAGAAGAAGGCTTCAGAGAGTTTATGAAAGGAAGTTCCCTCAAGACAGAGGAAAAAAAACACTACAGTAGGCATACTGCTCCGAAGAGTAGGTCATTTTAATAGTTCACTTCATTTTTCAACACAAATGTACATTCCATTTTTTAAAAGTAAATAAAAATTGATAGAAGACCCATATTTCTCCTTACCTCCTATTTTTCCTAATTGCTTCTCAGAAAATAAAAACAAACAAACTAGTCCGTGATTCTAAATGGTCTGAGTATTGCTTTTTCTGGGTTTCCTTATCGTTTGCAGTAGGGTAGTTAACAATTCCTATTTTCCAAGGTCTGAAACATATCAGTACATTTTAAATAGATAATAGCTTAATGGTCTATCTTAATTTTAACAAGTATTACAGTGACATATGGTTTCTAAGCTAGTCTACAGATGGAAAATATTTTACATAGGCCCTTCCTGGCCACCTTGCCAAGCAGAAGCATACTTTTAGTAAAGCAAATCTCATTTAGTTTGTGGTTGGGCCTCTGGTATATACATCTAACTTGATGAGAACCAAATATTTGAAAAAGCATGTGTATTATGAATATATATATCTAATTTAAAAGACTGCTGTTCATTAGGGGGACTGAGAACAATATAACAAGACCCTTATGCAACATTCATTTAAGAATATTTGAAAATATAAAGTTAATCTCCACCTACTACTTCCAAATGTGGAAAACAGGAAGGTTAGGGAGAAATGATCTGAGCTCTCCTGTCTCATGGAAATCAGATATCTGAAGATCTAAAGAAAAACTTCCATGGCTTTTTTTTTTTCAATGAGAAGTCCCCAGAGTTGGCACCAGGATTCTACTTTTACAACTCTGTTTTGAATGTAAGAAGTATGTTGCTTAGCAGCCAGATGCCAAGCCATCAGATCTATGTTTTGATGGGCTCAGAGCACTGTTCAAATTTTGTGTCCAGATGTCATCTCTTAAATTGCTTGTTTTTCAGACATGAAGCAAATGTGTGAGGATATGTTTTCCACCCTTGTTTAGTAGATGAGGCCACCTTGAACAGTGGTGTTGAGGAGTCAGCAAAACAGTGCTAGTAATTGATTTATCAAACCAACACGCTTCACTGTCAGGACTACACCCCAGCACTGGGCACTGCTTTAATCAGAGAAACTTAACACCAGTCAGTTTTCTGGCATAGGAGGTATTTTCATTCTGGAATGGCATTTATGCTGGTATTCACACCACTTCTGCTATCAAATAGTAGAAATCCAGTCTCCTCAGGACTTAATTTTGCTCTCCAGAATCCCTTCCTTGTTCCTGGCTTCATCTTTTATTTTAAAATGGTGGCTTCAAACAAACTCTTGAACCCATTTTGGATACCATCTACTCTGTAAACAAAGCCTATCTGCTTGATAACAAAGCGGGAAATTATTTAACACCGCCTCACTCCAAGTTTCACTCTTTCATGGACTGGAAAACTGGCTTGAAACTGAACCAGCTACAGACTACACAGTTCTCTCTCAGCTAACACGTCTTCTTATGCCCTACCCTGTATTGCTGGAGTACGGGCCCCACAGGCAGCATGCCTTCTTTACCAGCTGGCTCCTTGTTAGGTTCTGACAATCGGGGGCCCTAGAGGAGACCAGAAACTTAGAGGAGGAACAACTGCGTCCTTGTTCCCACATTGGCATGTTGACTGGGTTGACTAACTCAATCGCATATTTGAGTTCAAATCCCATTTAAAGTCAAAAGTGAACCCTTAACAAGGGTTCGTAGTCTATTGGTCAACTCCAATCAATAAAAGGATATATAATCCAGAAATGAGAAGAGTGGGAGCAGCCTAAGCAGCTCTAGTTGACATTTTAAAAATAAATTGTGAATTGGAAGCTGCTAAGAAAGTAGATCTTAAATGTTCTCATCACAAGAAAAAGTTTGTGATGAATGTTAACTTACTGCGGTGATCATTTTACAATATACACATATAGCCAATCATTATGTTGTACACCTGAAACTAATGCAATGTTATGTAAGTCATCTACTTCTCAATTTACAACCACGTAAGTAAATAAATTATGAAGAAGATTCTGAGAGGTCTTAAGTCTTTTAGGGACAACTTACTGCAGCACACAGGACCTGTTTCAGTGTACTCAAATTTGGCATATGCCTATGTGTGTCATCTGTGTTTGAGGCAGCAAGATGGAAAATACCTGGTCTCTGCTCGCCTGTGTTTATCACCAGGGGAGAGGAAGCAGAGACATGCATAAATCACTCCAATTTTAGGAAAATTCTGATAAATGCTGTAACAGTTATAAACAAAATCTTTGAAATGAGAGAGGAGGAGCAATCAATTCTGCCTTTTGATCTTTATACATAGGCTTTATTGTAAAGGTAGAATTGATTTGGCCCTTGCCTTGAAGGATGAATAAATTTCATATGGATTCAGCAACCTTTATTGAGCATTTCTTATGTACTATACACAATCATAAGCCATTTTACAATTAACCCTTTCAGCAATCTGCAACCATAGTATCTTTACCATAATTTGTGTAAGGACATTCATACAAAGAGAAACAGATAATCTTTTTGGAATAACAGCTGACAAATGGCAGAAACAGCATCATCTAATGCTCTCAAAACTAAAAATATAACTAATTTATTCAGACATTCAGTCGTTTATTAATAACAGAGAGGGATTCAGAAGTTTTAAAGTGGCCCTTTTCCCAAGAGTCTATTCCAAGGATCATTTAAATTTGGGAGGAATCTTATAAAATCTGGGCTCTAAGAAGGAAACTGATGGCAGAATATAGGTAGGGAATTTATAGGAGACAAAGGGACCCATTAGACACCTCAGGTGATAGTCCAAACCAGAGGAATAATAGAAAGAATGAGAAACAGGACAGCTACCTGAGACGTTTGGTAGATGGAGTCAGTGACTTAGAGTGACTGGTTAAATGTGGCAAGTGAGAGAGGTAAGTTAATGATGGCTCTATGTTTCTGATCCAGCATGTCTGTTTTATGGAATTTCTTTCTCAGTGCATTTAATATATTCAGTATTCTCTAAATTATTGAGTTTTACCAAATACTCCATAGATATGAAGACCATGCTACGTTAATTGTTGCAAAAACAGGAATTTTCTCGAGCAAGCATACATCATGAATGTGAAAGATAAGAGTAATGTCGAGAATAACACATGTGATAATCTAACAGTACCATGGAGAAGTAAGTCCAGGAACTGGAATGTATAAATACAGGTTTGGATTTCAGCCTCACCAGTCTCAAGCTGGCTTTGGACACTTACTGCTTCTGAGCTGTAATTTCTCCATCTGTATATGTTTTCATTTAATACCAACACATGTATAGCTGGAAGGCCATAGAGATCACCTGGTTTAAACTCCTTGCATTAATGATGAAGCAACTTTGCTTCAAGGCATGTAGATGACTTACATAATGATTCTTTCTAAAAGAGTGAGAATTAAAATGTCATCTATTCACATTCTCTCTCTCTAATCACGTTCCATTCCCATTCTTCAAAATGACTCCCTAGCATCTATTTTCCTCAGTCCCCAATTTGTTCCATCCTTCCCCTTCTTACCTCACATTTACTAGAGAAATTTTCCTATCTTGGAACTCTGGTGCAGACTCTCTCCAGCTTCCCCTGATGCCCTCCACCCAACAAATCCTATACACTCCAGCCACAACAAACTTATTCCCAAAACATACTGTGCCTTTTGCAATTCTCTGTATTAACCAATCTTCCCTTGTTAGATTACCCTTCCTCTAAGACTGTCAGACTTCTGTCCATCCCTCAGGATCCAGTCACCTTCTTTGAAACACTTCATTGATTCTTTCAAGGATTACTTACCAATTCCTCTTCTGCACACCCTGGACAGTCTGTTCAGAATAGCATGCCAAAATCTGCTTTTCTCCTGCACATCTGTTTTGCTCACTAGATCATGATGTTTCTTAAGGTACAGGATCAGATCTTACTGATTCACCACAGCATCAGCACTTAGCACAATGTCTGGCAGACTGCGGGCACACAATTGTTTCAGGAGTAAATGTACCTGGATCCCTTGGCCTCTAATCCAGCTGGGCTCCATATGTTTGGTATTACCTCACTATATCCAGAAGCATGGATAGAGATTGTATAACATGAGTCATTGTAATGATCAGACTAACAGACCCCATTAATGTAGTCTCAGCTGAGATCCCAATCAAGAACGCTGTTTTGGAAATCTCTGTACAGGCAGCCAGAAAGGCAAATGACACCTCAGGTGTCGTATCCACAGGATAAATATGAATTACACTGGGTAAGTGTCAGTTTGTAACCCTTAGGACTAAAATAAGTGCCATACCAGGTTAATTCCCCTATCATTAATTCCTCTCTTCACAGGAACTGAGTAGACAGATCCATATCCAAGGCCAGTTAAACCCTCTTCCATGCCCTTCCATCCTGCTCCACGCTTGCCCTCACCAGGTGTTGATCGCGATAACAGAAGTTGCTATTATTTAACTCCAGATTCTCCTGTACAAGGTATCCAGGCTTACTCTCCTCTGCTGTTGCTACAGTTGTGATGATATCTGCACTTACCAGCATGTATTTCCTTTAGCTCCTTCTGTCAGAACGTTTGTGCTGCATGAGAGGCCAATCTTCTAGTCAAGGCTAGAAATACTACAGCTCCTGTAATTTGTAACACTTTGTACATTCTTATGTCTATTTGGTTCATTTTCCCCACCCAGTACTGACCACTGGGATTTCCCAAGTCCTACTATCTTCTGGGCATTTGCTTCTCAAGGCAGCATAGTTTGCTGGCTCCCTGCCCCCCAGTCCACCACAAGGATATGTCTGGGGTACTCTAAGTCCTTCTAAATTCCATGGTAAATCACAGATATTGCTATAGTCATAATCCTCTAAATGGCCACACCTGGTGGATGTCAGTGACCTCCCTATCAAATCTTCTTTGATCTTGCTGACCACCTTTGCTCTACTTTTGAGTTAGATACAATGTCCCAGTCATGTCTCCTGGCCAATACCGCGAGCCCATAATTAAATCTCTGCATACTCTTGCAACCCTTACATTTTACTAAATCTTCCATTGCAGTTCTGTCTACACCATGATGATAAAATATTGATCCAACATGAAGAGAACCATCTTTAACATTAGCAAAGCTAGAGCTTGCCTTCAGATTTAAGCTAACCAAGCAGGAAAACTCATCAGCACTTTAAATGCATTTATCTCTTATGCACATACTGTATATGACTCACATTTCTTCAGTATACCTTGCCTCCAGATTCAGAGATAGATGATAGATAGATAAATGCTATTGCCTGAATAGTAAGGATTACTTCTGCTCTGAATTAAAGTCTAAACTTCAAATAAGGTTTATACTTTTAAATGGTGTTGTAAGTCACCACCAATAAATAGACAGGAGTGTGATGTACTGTACTCACTAATTTGATGCACAAGTCAAGGTTCAATACATTGGAATGAACGTTGGATCACCAAGAAATACAGGCATTCATTGTAAATTTTGAGAATGGAACAATAACTGGCTGCCAGTGTTTGAAATTGCAGGAGTGAAATGAGAAGGTTGCCAATTTATATAACTCTAGTTACAAAAATGTGAAGAGGGTGGCTCTTCAGTCAAGGCATTTAATCAATGTTGTTAAAAAAAATAACTGCTTCTGTTCATAATTTTGTCACATGCACACATTTCCATGGCAAGGGGCCAAATGCATTTAATGCAATTCAAGGATAACAAGGAGAATTGATGTCATCTAATGAGTAATTGATCACCAGTAAATAGAGAGATATTAAGAATCCAGTTTAAGCTATATGCAAAGCAAGAGAGCCATTTCCACTTGCTGTGGTTCTTCATCCAAGCTTATGAATGAAGTAAGGAATCAGAAGGGAAACAATTCTTGGATTTTATTATTTGAAGATAACAAACTCCAAATTGTGAAGACAAACATAAATCTTTGTTTAAAAAAATTCGTGTGTGCAGAAATAACCTTTAGTATCTAGCAGTCACTTAATTGTGACTTGGATCTTTGGTCTTAAAGCTACTTAAAATGATTGGGGGAAAAGTGGATTAAAAACATATTGTAGTATATTATTCTCTTAGAGACTATTTATTATGCAAAAGTGTGTACCAATTTCAATTTTAAAAACTACTGATTTGTTCTCAACAGCTGTAGTTTGAGATCCCATGGGATGACATGTGAGGATACACAGGAAACTTTGGGAGGCTATTGCTGGGTTGGTGACTTGATTCACCAGGGCTACTTGTCAGAGCTTTCTGCAGCTATAATAACATGGTGGCAACAATGTAATTCATCACAGCTGGAATCTCATAATGTGGGGAACACAATAAGGACCTGAAAGTGTACTAGAGAGAAGATCATAGGGTATATCTTCTAAACAGTCTTCACCTTGGCTGGATTTTTATGGAGCAAAATAGAGAAGAGTTAGAAGAGAATGTTGACATTGAGTAGGTAACATTGGTTACATAGTAATAACATCTTGCACTGACTTTTACTTTTAAAGGATTCAATTTAGTTTCCTATCCAAATTACTGCCAAATTTATGTTTTGCCACAAATATGTGGCTGAGGTTTGCCACTCTGATGGAAAGTAAATGATTAGGCCAGGCATCTGATCAATTTAGCATGAACTGAGGGCAGGATATTAAAGCTTTCCTAAGCATGACCATATGTGAAGGGATACATGACATATGTGTCCGCATCTATGCAGGACAGCATTGTGATGGCTGCAGCTGCTCTTGTAATGGACGAGCTACAATCCTGTGACATCTTTTTTTTTTAAGTCCCCTTATCCTTCTGTGTTTCTGGGGCCCAGAGAAGCTTACAAGAGTTGGTGCCATTAGTTTGTCTTTGGGACATTTCCAGAGCTTAACAGGTGATACCATACACATAGACCGATCTTGCCCTTTGGAGTGAACAAGTGGCTCTCCAAGGTGACTCCTTCTGGATGTAAATTGATTTTAATGATTTCTTTCTCCCGGGCAGGATTTATGTGGGCATCATTCATGTGACACCCTGGGAATGGCAGACGTTGGGACCATATGCTCTCCGGAGCGCAGCTGTGCTGTGATTGAGGATGATGGCCTCCACGCAGCCTTCACCGTGGCTCATGAAATCGGTATGCAGTGCCTTTTCTCTTCCCTCACCAAATCAAACACTTGTAACAGCTGCAACAGGATCCAAAACACTTGGCAATTAATTCCAGATTCCTCCAGGTTCAGATGTACACTACGGATTACATCTGTTAATGTTTGTAATTTCAGGGTTAACTAATAAGGGAGAAGGAAGGTAAATTTAGGCTCACAGTAGATGTTTCCCTTTGGATGGTGTCATTTTAAAGTTTAAGAGAAATTCACTACTGCCACTATCTTTTGAAGCTTCCGTAAATGACTCTTAGACAAAATTTGTCATAGTTGACTATGGAATGCAGAGATGTCCCTCAACTAAGACTCAAGACTCTATGGACTCATCCAGGGCTATTCAGCTTGCACAGAAATGTATCATGTTTTATCCCATTGTGAGTAATGATAGTTGGCTCCTGTCATAGGTAAACAGTAGTTTATGGTAAACATTCTTGGCTCATTTTTTTGTTCTTTTTTTTTTTAATAGCAGAGCAAATGAAACCAAGACCAACAGTCGACAGGATTCATTTTCAAATATCACTTACCACATTTGTTTGTCATAAGAAACACATCTAAACCCTAAAACTATAAATTTAGGACCAAGGTGATTGTTGAAAAATGTCCCAGCAGTTAGTAATGCATACTTCCTAAGGAGTGACCTAGGCTACTAGGTGCTTGAGAAATTGGTACTTAGAATTAGACACATCTGGCCTCAGTTCTTGCTAAAAGTACGTCTGCCTGTGTCACATTAGTCTTATTATTTAAACTCTCTAAGCTTCAGTTTTCACATCTGAAATACAGTAATAACAGTGCTATTTAGTGGAGATATTTTAAGGACCAGGTTGGGTATGTTACCAACTGTTATTTATATTCACATACACTTCTGTTTTGCTTCTTAATTAACAATTTTTTTTTGTGAGAGGGCATCTCATATTTATTGATCATATGGTTGTTAACAGCAATAAAATTCTGTAAAGGGGACTCAATGCACAATCATTAATCAACCCCAAGCCTAATTCTCAACCTCAACAGTCTCCAATCTTCTGAAGCATAATGAACAAGATCTTACATGGTGAACAAGTTCTTACATAGTGAATAAGTTCTTACATGGTGAACAGTGCAAGGGCAGTCATATCACAGAAACTTTCGGTTTTGATCATGCATCATGAATTATAAACAATCAGGTCAAATATGAATATTCATTTGATTTTTATACTTGATTTATATGTGAATCACACATTTCTCACTTATTTATTTATTTTTTTTAAATAAAATGCTGAAGTGGTAGGTAGATGCAAGATAAAGGTAGAAAACATAGTTTAGTGCTGTAAAAGGATAAATGTAGATGATCATCAGGTGTGTGCCTGTAGACTATGTGTTAATCCAAGGTAGACAAGGGCAACAAAACATGCATGGATGCAGATTTCTCTCAAAACATGGGGGGTGAGGTTCTAAGCCTCATCTCTGTGGATCCCCAATTTCTCACCTGATGGCCCCCCTGCGACTGTGCCTATCTTAGGTTGTTCCTCCCTTGAGGAATCTTACCCATCTCTGGCTAACCAGTCATCTTCCGGGGCCATACAGGGAAATGTAAAGTTGGCAAGTGAGAGAGAAGCATTATTGTTTGAAAAGGTTAGCTTTTTACTTCTTTGCAGATTTATGCCCTGTGGCTTCTACGCCCAGCATTTGTCTTGAGGTATCTTTACCACTTGGAAGAATTATGATACTCGGTAATTTTTATATGAGGCACGAATTCTACTTAAGGGTTGTAATTAGGAAGGAAGAAGAAAAGCTATAGAAGTAGCAGAAGGAAGAAAACATGG